AAAAGCAAGGAAAACGTGGCAGAGATTAATCTATCACGACTTTACAAAAGTAGCTGCTACGATGACACTTGTAATTGTTAGTCTGAGCAGAAGACGTGGAGATAAATAGAATTGTTAAGACAGGAAAAGAACTGACTAAAGAGGATATAATACTATGTTGTGCTATAAGGATAATTACAGGCTTGGAGTGAGGTTATCCATCCTGAAAGATCTGTTAACGGGAAGGATCTTATTAAATATTTGCACTAATAATATGCACCCAAAAATTTGTGTTTGATAATGAAATTTGGAGATGATGAAGTTGGCAGACAATATTGAATTAGTGAAGAATGGGACTCACACAGGTGAAAAAAAAAAAGGAAACATAGCATACTGGAAATAGATTGAAGGAGATAGAATAAAATGTTAAACCTGGCCTTTAAGAATTAAAGAAGTGATGGAGCAGAATGACTTGGGTGTTTATAACTTGTCTGGGGACAAACGTTCGATAGAGGTTTGTAAAAGGCAAGTGATATCCCCTTCTCATTAAAGTCTTGCCTGATAGTCCTGGGAATCATTACTATTTCACTGAAGGTTGGTAAGACTTCATCTGAAATCTAGGCAATGTTTGCTCAGGAAAGGTTTATTTCAGCCAGAAAAAAAAGAAAGATTACACAGACATGAAATGGTGAACTCGGAGGAAGCACTACAGAGAACCCAAGTGTTCTCTTACTGTTCAAAGCAGAGACTAGGTCAGTGTGCACCCTGGCTCCCTTTTGGACCCTGCACAAGCCAAGAGGAAGGGAGGAGGATGGAGTTCATCTCATGCACAGTCAGACTGAAACTGGGAGAGCTCCCAGTTTCCCCCCACTTCTATGCAGCTTTGCAACTTGCCTTCATACAACTATCCCTGAGAATAGCTTGATGCTAAAGCAGCAGCAAGAGCTAGACAATCAAAACAGGTAGCAAGAAAGGATATTGCTGAAGCTGAAACTTAGCTCCTGTGTGAAATGTTCCAAAGGAGATTTACCATCTTGAAAAGCTTGTGAGTGCTGGTAAGCTAGAGGCCAAGGGGAGGTTGAGAGGGTGTGCCTATACAGAGGGGGCAGTGGTGAAACTGTGAGGGATAAAACTCCTTGAGTTCAGCATCATCCTCTCCACACACATATTCTATACGTTATAAAATTATAAAGATGTCATGGGATAACTTTCTGGGATGACACTGATGGCCCTCACGAAGAAAGTCATCTGATGCCAGAGGTAGCAGGTAAAATTAGCTTTGGAGGTGTGTATTTGTGACAGTCTCAAGCAACTTGATAAGGAAGACACAAATGTTACTATCACAAGAAACAGGGAGAGGCCCTGTCTTCCCCTACAACTTGGCATGTTTTCATAAACAGAATACCAAAACACTGTGGATTGATTTCGTAATATTTATTTTCAGTCTGAAGACAGTTTGTAGCCTGACAGATACTGTCAAAATACGGGGTTGGACCAACCCAAACAGGCCATTCTCAGTGAAAGAAACGCCTTTCTTTAGCTCTAAGGCAGAGATACTATGACAACAGCCTGCGAACAATACAACACAGAGCTTTTAAATACTAAGTAAACACTAGATTTGGAATGGCATTATGATTTTAGAGACACTATGAGGTAAACCTGCCCAACCCACTTGTAAAATTCTGAGTAGCTGGAGCTGATATATTTACTGTCATCAGAAGATGTCCAATATGGTCTACAGCATGGTATCCTTTACCTGCTAACCTAGAAAGATGGGCACCCCTGCCAATGCCATGTTCCTATCACTGTGAAATTGTTTTAACATTGATTTAGTCAGAAGGCTTTGTTCCCAGTTCCCACAGCAACTGGCTATTCCCCAAGTTTCTTCTATCACAGAATGACCAAACTTAACTTTATTCAACTTATGCACTTCGTTTGAAAAATGTTTAGTCTTTTAGTGCTGGTGAGCCCCAAGGCCAGAATGAGCTCAGAGTTTCTGTGGATGCACCAGGATGTGAAATTAAACACTTGGTGTGTATAACCATTGCCCCTTTTCCTCTTTTCCTTATATCCCAGATTAGAATAAGAAACTGATGTCCTGAGTCTGGAAGTCCAAGTTGCAGTCTTCACAAGCAACTTTGTCATACAAACCTGCTCGTAAAACAACATCCTAAACTCCAGGTCTCTAGTTCTCACTGCATTCACTGCTTTGGCAGTCAAAATTCTACTCACTTTCCAACTAAATTTATCGTGATTCCATTGTCTTTTGGTTTAAATGGTGGTGGTGTATTTTTTTCTCAGTGACATTTACCTCAATTTATTTATAATGGAATCATATCCCCGCTCAGTCACTGTTTTGTTTGGCTCAGCTGCCAAGCTCTTGCACCAAGTGTATCAGACATCACATGAAGCAAGACTCTTTCAGATTCACCAACTGTAAAGTGCAAGTTCCAGCATATTTAAACACTCTTTGATACTGCCCTTCTCAAAAGATAGTTCACAGGAAGGACAATAGCCAGCCTCTGGAGTTCTGTAGTATCAGTGGCAGAGGGCTGTGCTGCCAAGCTGGAGAATTCAAACCCTGCTGCCAACAAGCACAGTAAGCCTTCACACCACCAGCAAATGGAGATCTGGAAGCACAAACTAAATTGTTGTTCATTGGGTTTTTTTTTTCTTCATAGATACTAATGTGTGAGAGTGACAACCTCAGCTTACTATTAGAGCATACAGTATATTCTCCAATACATTGAGAGAATGATAGACAAGAATTTGAATAATTAATGACTATTTTCTGAAGTAAATTACAGCCTTTTTCCCAGCTGACAGTGGAATATCACTAACACCCTGCCATCTTGCCTGGCTACACTGAGGTTTCTAAATACAATATTCCCTTCCCTGACTTCAACTTCACCCACTGTCAGCCTCCATTAGGCATAACAAGATCCAGACAGATTCAAGATTAACCAACTTTTCTATAAAATCCAATTGAGGACTTTCTTACCTTGAGGGTGTAGCAGATATTGCATTAACCAGATTGTGCACACTTTCCATGCAAGATCTAAAGGCGCATATATATATATATATACACACACATGTATGTAGAGTGTCTTAATTCTCTTAGGAAATAAGTGGGGGCTTTCTAGATTCCTCCCACCACAGACATCATGGTCAGGCTCAGCTAACTGAGACCTTGTGGGGAAAAGGGTCTTATTTTCCCAGAAGCCATACAGGAGTGCTGTTGTCTAGCGTAGGAAGTCTGTGCAGATCATTAAAGCAGTAATAGTCACGTGAAGAGAGGGGAACCAGGTTTAAAAAGCTCCTTACTGGCTAGGCTACAGCTTCAGCTCCCAGAGAGACTGCAGTCCCTGAGTGGTGGAACCAAGAAGAAATCCCCCTTCAGCCATCTCCCCCCTCCCCATAGGTACCAGGGAATGGGACAGAGACCTCCTCAGTGCTACCTGGTGAGTGTCATCAAGATGGTTTCAGGGTTCTGCAGAGCTGGGGCTCCCTTTTTGTCCAAAACAGAATGTGTCTTTTATTTGCTGTGGGAGAATGGGTGGGCAGGGTCACTTAAATGCAGGGGACCAGGGGCACATTTGGGGGCACTGCATCTAACACGAATATGTATCGGATGGATGTGGTGGAAGGAGTGAGGGATGGTGTGAGTGAGTCCATGAGCACGGTCCCGTGGGTTGGCCAGGCAAACAGCAAGTGTTCATAGGGATTATGGACAGGGGAAGGACTTGCAGCACATATGGCACAAAGTATGAAAAAGAATAGAGAGAAAGGTCTGATGTGGTGTATTTGGAGAAGATGAGCACAGGAAATCACAGAGCAACCAAAGGAGACCACAGGAGCTACATGTTCTAAGCACCCAGTTGCTCTGAAGCAGCATAACCACTGCTCAAATAGTTCACTGAGGTGAGGGCTTTAGGATCCAAGTCATAGCTTAGATCGTGGAGGTTGAACCAAGTTTTTTTTGTGAAGGCAGAAAACCCCCAGATTTTCAACAGCTGTCTTACTAGCATCCTTGTAGTCTGCGGCCTAAAGAGAGGAGGGGAGAATGCCAATAAGTGAATTTTAATTCTGAGATGGGATTCTTTTTAACATTACAAGTTTGCAGAGAAGTCTCGTATTCCTTGTGAACTCTGACTAGTGCCTCTTCATATATTACAACACTGCATTATCAGTCCCAGCAGAGTGAATAAGAATGATAGGCTGTAACACCTCTGAGAATACTCTGCAGTTTGACCTGTTCTCACTGATGCCAGACAGAAGGGAAGTTGGTTAGTGTAGGGAAGAAGAAGCCAGTTTCTGCCTTTTGTGTTCAAATTTTATTCCCTTAACTGACACTGAATGTAGAATTCACAGCTGTAACAAGAAGAGTTCCTTTCTGTAGCTGTATTTTGCCAACTTTTGGCACCAATCACTGCTCTGCCAGATAATTGTTTACATGTCAGAGGCTCACATTCCATTTGGAATAGTGGCAAATAGTTAATGCCCTACAAATACCTCAACCTGACAACTGAATTCTACCAGCCTTACGCTTGCCATGACAGAAAAAGCTGAGCATCCATCAGTCCTGGCGTAGGAGCATTAGCAGTGCCCAGCTCTGCCAGTCAGCCTGCACCCTACCGCATTCTGATACCAAAAGCCCAATTCTACTGTTTAACTAAAGCCCCGCTAGCGGACAGGGGAGAGCCGCTGTACCGCAGCGCAGCCGGGAAAGGAGGGAAGCGGGCGATCCAAACAGGGATCTGTACCTGTTGCCTGCTAGCGGCACTTCCAGCTCGCCTGCCCGGGGATGCGTGTTTTGGCCGGCGGGCAGGAGCCGCTCCGCAGTCCGCGGCAGGACGAACCCGAACCGTCCATCCCGGCGGGCACCGGCGGGCGGTGCGGGGCAGGAGCTGCGGGTGCCGCCCCAGGTGCGGACGCGGCTCCGCCGCTCCCCGGCGGAGGAAGGGCGCGGGCAGCCCCGCTCCCCGGGGGCGCCCCGGTCCCCCCTCTCCCGCCTCATTTGCATGGCTCTTATTACGGCCGTGCCTCGCTCCCGCCGCGCTGACACCGCCGGGCTGAGCGCGGAGTCGCCTCCAGCGGGAAGCGCGCTTCCGTTATCTGCGCCCCCTCCTCAGCCCCGCTCTCTCCCTCCCTGGATGTTTAAGGCGAGGATGAACAAACAGGTCCAGCCCGAGCGCAAAGTGTCGGTGGTGGCCCCCTTGCCGGACCGCGCGGGGCCGCCGCCCCCGAAGAAGGACGTGGAGCTGATCCTGGTGAAGGAGCACAACGGGGTGCAGTACACCAGCAGCAGCCTCCTGCCCGCCGCCCCCGCGCCGCGCTACGGCGCCCAGGACAGGGAGACCTGGGGCAAGAAGATCGACTTCCTCCTCTCCGTCATCGGCTTCGCCGTGGACCTGGCCAACGTCTGGCGATTTCCATACCTCTGCTACAAAAATGGAGGGGGTAAGAGCACCGCTTGCGAGGTCTTTTTTTTTTTTTTTTTTTGTTGCCCCCGGCCCCCACACCCCGGCGCGCCGCACCGCCCGCAAGGGCAGCATCCGCCTCTCTCTTCTCCCCGGAGTTTCTGGGAGAAAGCCGAGGCTGAACCCCGCGGTGCCCGGGCGCGGTGCCGGAGGGCGAAGGGAGGAGCGGCGGCGCTGCCCCGGCGATCCCCGCTCCTCCCTTCGCCTCCCGGCCGGCCGGGACCCGGCCCCGGCAGCGCTCGGGGTGCCGCTCAACCCTCCCCCCCACTCGCGGGAAGGATTGCTCGCACACCCCTCGAAGTTTAACTTAAGTTTCGAGCACGGGCGTATTTCCCTTCTGTTGCCTCTTTAGTCTAACATTTTTTTTTCGTTCGCAAAAAAATAGCACCAAAAGGGAAAAAAAACCCCAACCAACTAAAAAAAAAATCCCAAAACAAAAACACTCAGGCAGAAAAACAGCATCTAGAAGAGCTAGCGCCGGACCACTGAAAGGTTTCGTGGGGGTAGTTTTAATGGGGAATCGGGATTTCTGCCCTCCGTTCTGCAGTGTGGGTGTTCTGCCCCCCACCAAAGTAGGTAGGAGACTTGATACAAACAAAACCTCACCTCCTGCACAGTTTGGCAATGACAACAACAAAAAAAATTACACACAACAGCTACTGTTGGCTCAGATTGTCTTCAGTGAGACCTTAACTCCATCACCCCCTTTCATCTCCCTGAAATACGCTGTGTTGTCAGTGATGACTCCAGGCTGTGATGGAGTAACACCATCTGCAAGCCGGGCAGGTGCCTGGGGTGCTTTCAAATCACACATAGGAAGAACAGACCCTGCCTAGCAGATGGAGGACTGTTTGTGTGAACGGTGAACGATGCAGACAGAAGCACTGATAGATAGAAAGCACGTTCTGTGAGATAGTTATGTATGTATATAGTGATAATGTGGTTGCCTGGTGATAAAGGCTAATGGGTCACTTGTGGCATAAAATACTTGCTTCCTGTGAAAAGAGGAACGCAGGATGGACGGGAAAAACCCTATGAAATAACATGGAATTATACTTGTCCTTATCAGGATTCTACTGCTACTGAAACACTCAGTCAAGTTTGGTACCTCCAAAACTTCTGAGAGGAGTCAGAAAATCTCTCTGCTCGCTACCCAGACAGGCTGAAGAAAGTAGTTAGTGGTGAAAAATAACCTCCATCCTTATTTCGTTATGTCCAAAAATAGTTCTAGCCACTCACACAGTAGCAGCACAATGCATCATGAACCCAGCAGGCTTCCACAGTGTCAGATGCAGGTGTGGCAGCAGCATCATTCATACCACTCAGTACATATGCACCGTTTCCACATCTCCAGGTCATCTGGCAATTTTTAGGAAAACAGATATATTCCCCTATCTCACATTGCACAAGGTGACACACAGAGTGCCTGAACTCTTTTCTGTTGTCTCTTGGGTCACTAAGTTTCCTAACCTACTTCCTTTATAATTTATTGCCAGCTCAGGCACAGGAGGTAACAGTCTGCAAGTCTCTTGCATTTTGTTTAATTACCACGAATTATTCCATGACAGTTCAGCTGCAGAAACCTGAGTCTTCCTTAGCATCTTCTGATTCAAACACTTCCAAATGGCAGTGGAGAGAAAGCTGACACAGCTACAAGAGGCACCTTTCAATGAAAACTTTGCACCAATTCTTCAATATCATCAAAGTAAAATCAGACCCTTGCAAGCAAAGGTAGAGAGGCCCTGTCCTGTCATAGTCTACAGAATGACTGAGAACTGTTTACTGATACAGAGATTAAACACTATGGTGTCTTAAAAATTTTCCATCTATTGCCTCTCACACTGGACGTACATGTCAGTTTTGGTTAACAGAAACTCTTGTAAGAGATTCAGGCTCTAAAAGTACTTTACTGAATTTCAAGCTAGCTCAGTCCCCTTCTTTCTTTCAAACTGGGTTTAGGAGCTTGTTTGCTTTATGGGTAAATTTTCCAAGAAGACCATAGAACATCAGGCAATGGGCAGAGCTATGGGATATCACTGGATTATTTTGATATCTTTTCAGTCATACACCACAAATATTCTTAAATATATAAAAATAAAAATATATAAATATATACAAACACACGATTATTTATTTATTTATTTTCCTCCACACTGCTATTGCAGGAGGGAACTTTGTAGCACTAGCTCAACTTTTGCTGCCTCAAAAGGATAACAGAGTGGGTTCCATGTTATTGCTATGTATCCCCATACAGAAGATATAAAGGTACATGGATATAGACATGCAAAAGATTTAATTTCATTATCTTTTCTGGACTGTTGAGCAAACTAAAGGGATAAATTCAGAAGGTGTTTCTGTGCTTGTATAGCATGTTCCAGACTTATCCTTTAAAAAAGAATATACAAGATGCTCATAATAAGATTACGGTTTACCTTTTGATATTTGTAAGGCACTACTAGATACAGGAAAAACCAACACAACAGATTAAACTTGAATTGGGTGGTATGTATAAAGTAAATCAGTGGACAGTAAAGGGTTTTCCTCTCCTCTTGCTCCCTCAGTTTCTTTTTATTCTGAAAGCCTCAGCAATTACTCAGCCTCAGGGATGATTTAACTAGAGCTGACTTTAAGCAGTCAATTGCGGGTTATGAACTTGTATATCTTCAACAGATTGATACAAAATACACAGTGAAATGGAAGCATGGGGCAGTGCCCTAAATCCCAGGTCAGCATAGCTTGTGCCATCTAACAAAAAGAAATTCTGTAACCCTACTAAAAGCTACACTCGCAGGGGTTCTGCAGATGTTCTGAGAAGTCAAAAACCGTCAAACACATGGAAGTGGTGGAAAATGGCATCTCCCTTTTCATATGAAAAAAGCGAGGTGGGTGACATATGGACTGCTGTGTTCCTAAGGTTGGCTATGATTAATTTAAGATGTCTGCTGACACATTAAGGGCCTTTCCATGCTTGTAAAAATAGGTGGCTCTCAATAAAGCATGAGAACTTACAAGAACTCAGAAGGAAAGTATAAATACGCACTCTATTCCCTCATTCAAAGTTGAATTTTACAAGGACATGGGTACATATACACCCCTCTTTTTTACTGGGCAAGTCCTTGAGTTTCTTTCTTTAGCAAACTCTAGGGAATGTTCCTAGAAAAAAGAAACAGACGTAAAGGTTTTTGGGTTAGATCTGGAAGTTCCCTCCTCCAAGAAACTTTACTTCAGTGAGTTTCGCTTACTCAAGGCATACACCCCCCAGTGGCTGCTATCAGACCTTTTATGTTAGATAACTTTGGAGACAGCACTATCAACAAAAAGAAACATTTATATTTTAAAAAGGCTCCAGTAACAAAAAGCTTGAGAGTAAGAAGCATCCAGCAGAATTAAAACACTGAATGAACAGCCAGAAACATCTGTGTTTTGGGAGTAGCCTGCAGAGAGACCCCAATGGGACTTCTGCACATAGATGGTAGAATGTAACCCTTCTGTGAAAAACTGTAATTTTTGGAATAAGTCTTCTGTTATTAAAAAAAAAAAAAAAAAAAATCCCCAATCTCTAGTAAGATCTAAAAAGCCTTTATTTTTTTTATCTCTGTTACCTACTTTCATAGGACTTGTCTGCCTTACAAGGGCAGAGACAGATCCAGTGGCTGTATTGTAATATGAAAAAGGCGCAGAAACCTTACAGGCCAGTTTAACATGAACAGACTGGATGAGATCTCGCACTCAGCGACTTCTTGGAAGCAGGATGTGTCCACTATGTGCTCTAAACTATTTATCAGGTGACAGGCAGGCTCTGTAGAGATGGGAAAAGTCTGCAAGCTCCCATTTGGCAGATCAGACAACACTCCAAAAGGGGGAATTCTCAAGCAGCACCTTGTCAGTCTGGTTGATCAACAAACACCACGACTTACATGTATTTGACTGCTTCTTATACCACCAAGGAAAAGCACTGTTGGCAGCAAATCGAATACTTCTTGGGCAGTGCATTTGTGAGAGTTTCAAGGAGCAGGGCATGTCACTGAAGAAATCATCAACTATGGTCATTTCTACTGGCTCTGCTCACAGCTGCTATACCCTCATTATAACTCATTTTTGGTAAAAACACTTTTTTTTTTTCCCTAAAAAAAAGAGACTCCTTAGCTGTATAACTCTCTCTGTAAGTGGTTGACATCAATATATTAAAAAGAATTCTTTGTAACACTTCCAACCTTTTAATTTCTTCCCAGCTATGTAAGAGGCTATGGTGAATTAAAGAATAAGACTACTATGAAAGTTATACTCTCATCAATTTAGGGAAAGATTTACCCTGATATTTGGATTACATCTAAAATTTTACTGATGCCAAATGAAGTTGAGTAATGCCTACTATTATTAACTGATGTGCTCACAGTGGGGGAGGATGATGCTCAGTCTTAGTTAACAAAGCTATTGTAGTTTTTGTACAAGATACTTTAAGTATTAATGTTCATTTTTGTTTCCTTTTCCTGCATAGTCATAGGCAAAATTGATATTTCCCACTGAAATTTGAGGAAAAAGAATTTACCAATATAAAGTAGGTTTTTATGAGCCAAAGAATTTGCAAGGTCAGTGATGTTCAGACTACTCATTAGGAAGCATGTAATTGTTGGATTAGTCACTGGAGACTTACTGTATCATAAGAATCAGATTAAGTTTTTAATGAATTTAAGAATAGCTGCAGATAAATATTTTAACAGTATTCTAGCTATCATGATACACACTTCTAATCTCCTCTGCAGCATTATTTTTAAGTATTTTAGGCAATGGTATTTCCAGAAGAAGTTGTTTGCTATTGTTTGCCAGCAATCAATACACTTTAGAAGTATCTTAAAATTTATTCTAATGCTCCCTTTCCTATTCACACTTTCAGAAACTGTAATGCAGGACTGAGCAATCCACAGCACAGGTACCAAAGGCAGCATACAACCAAATCTGAATATTTCCAAACAGTTCCAG